TCCTTGAGTGCTTATTTTTAATTCATCACCTTCCATTTCCCTTATTTTACCTCTTTTTTTGTCCAGAAATGATGTTTGCACTGATGACAACCTTGAACCCTCCATTCTTGTTGTTGTTTTCGCTGCTTTTTATTTTTGCTCCTATTTTGACCAGTGTACTTTCAACCCATGTGAATTTCTTCCGTGCGTTCTTTCTTTCCAGTGGTGATGAGACTGAAAGGCGCTTTAAGGACACGGTTAGCTTTGGATACTGTATTGAATTAAAAAATAAGCATGTTATGTTGTTTATGAAATTGGTTAAAAGTATTTTTACACAGTCTTATCCTTTTCAAGGTGTCGCTCAGTTCTACGTTGGTAGTATTAGCCATCAATTCCATTAATAGTGAAAGCAACTTCAAGCAGCACATATGGGATGTCATGGGTATCTCTCTGATTCACTCATTTAATTTCCTTGACTTTGCACTTATGTCGATGGGCATTGCATGTCTGAATGCATATCCGTCAGATTCCCCCTAGTTGTTGATGCGATGTTGGGGTTTTTTGATGAGACGTTTAGGTATTCAGTCATCTACTAAAGCGTCATTTGTTTAGACGCGTAATCGGAGTTGGTGAAGTTGTCTTAGCATAGTTGTCACCATCGCGGTTCTCAAGCTGCCGTAAACGAAGGAGATTGTGAGGTCGTTTTATCCCAGATGTATTTACAGGGACTGAAGTATGATTGGAGGAAATATTCGGTTTGGTTTCAATATCTCATATCTTCCATTACTTATTGCTCCCAACAGCCAACCAAGCAATGTTGTTCAGACAAGCTGCCTTCTTTGGCGAGTAGTTTTCAGTCTTCGAACAGTCTAGTGACTCAGTCCATATGTTGATTAAACAGTGTCGTCATTGCGTCCATTAAGTAACAGCGTCAACGTAAAGTTAATCATGAACCTTGATATTTATCCCATTCTACTGTTGCTCAAATAAGTAGTATTATTGAGAAAAGTCTAATTAGCTAGTGTGTCACTATTTTTATCCTTGTCAAGCCTGACAACCTTGCATGCAGCTCTGAATGACTACTCCTACTGTTGTGCCCGTGACGCCCAGCCCAAGTCTTCCGCCCGTTTCCCCAAAATGCAGAATCTCTACCTATCCGAAAACCGTCTTGGCACTTGGTCCGACATTTGTTGTATTGGTGGACACTTTCCGCACCTCCAGCACCTCGTACTCCTGCGAAATCCCTTGAAAATAGTCCCACCAATGTTAGAGGAGGAGAGGAAGACACCATTTGCAAGTCTGGAAGACTTGAATCTCATGGAGACAAGCATTGATACATGGGAGAGTGTCGATGCGCTAACACATTGGTTTCCGGCGCTAAAGTCTTTGCGGTTGGGAAAAGATATACCTCTACTTAAGGTGAGTAAGGGGTTTTTTTTTGTTCATCCCGCTCGGCTATTCTCTCTCATCTTCTTCGGACTTACCTGTCCATTCTTCCACCATTTCGGTCCCACCATTAAAAGCAGTCAGTTCGTATTTTATTCTTCCATGAAAACCACCAGCACGCTTTCAGCTATCCAACTTCCGATTTCTGTCAACATATAAGCAATCTTGATCCCAAACCAGC